TTCAATATATCATATATATCATGTGTTGCATACAACACACACCTTTTCCACAAAATCAGCCCCCCCTCAAATTAGGGTTAATTGGGGAAGCTGATTTTTCTGACCAGGATAGAAGTATTCCTGCTCCATGGTGCAGCAGCTGTTTCACTATCATCAGGCAACTGATGGAGTCAATTGCTAATTACTCTTCAACCTAATGATCCTCTCTCCTTTTAAATGATGTTGTTCTACTAATCAAGCCATCCTTTCTTAGGGTGACTTTTTTCTGTCTGCTAGCTGTTCCTCTCTTCCTATTTTAGCTTTAATTAAGCAGGAAAAGGAGGGTGAGTCACCTGAAGACTAGCCTCTGCCCCTGCTCTATGAAATCATAAATCGGCGAGGAGGGACAGGACATTTCTTCATTCTGCCTTTCAAAAAAAAAGTGCATATATTCCAATTCATGTTGTATATGAGAAAACGTGGGGGTGGGGGCTGTAGGGTTTGGGTTTTTTGTTTTGTATTTTGTTTTGTTTTTTGGGGTGGGGGGGAGAGGAGGCTTGTAATACAGAAGTTGCAAATACCTCTTCCCTTCTGCATCTATGATTGTGTCTCCCTGCCACAGAGAACCAAGGGGACCTAAATTTATTCACTTTCAGATCACTAGATACTTTACTGGGTTTTCAAAGCAAAGTGAATATTTTTGTTTTTGTTTGGCATTTTTAAGTCACCATCTGTAATGGGCAGGGATCCGGGTTTTCTGTTTCCCATGGAAACAGAGAAAACCATGGACTTCCCCTTTTTATCAGAACAAGTGCAGATTTCTCCTTTTAGCAGAGAAATCTGCGGAATCCCTGCTTTTGCAAAGAGCTCTGCAAGCTGGCTGAGCTCCAGCCTGCAAGAGCTGTTTGCAAACAGGGCAGGAAACCCCCAGCCTTGTCTGGAGGGGGAGGGAGGGAGGGAGGAAGGGCAAGGCTTGAGGCTCTGTCAGCCATGGCTGGCTCAGCTCAGCTTCGCTCCACTCTATAGAGCCTGAGGTAAGTGGGGTTTGTAGGGGGCTGGGGGCAAGTGAGGAGCACCAGCAGGGCTGGGGGAGGCATTGGGGGGAAGTGTGAAGGGCACCAGCGGGACTGGGGGAGGCTTTTAATTTTAATAACAGATTGGGGGATTTATCAGAGAATTTGCAATTTTTTTGTCAAAGAATGTATTTTTTATCAGAGAAAACCAGGATCCCTGGTAATGGGGCATAAATAGTTCTTGGAGAAAGAGTTATAACATTTTCAGTAGTTTAAAGTGATCTTATTCCTTTATTTAGTGTAGCAGTTGATTTTCTAATAACTATATTATATATGGCAACATGTAATGTGCACTCTAGTCTTTTTATGGTAGTAGGATGTGGGAGTTGGCTTTTCTTTTTTAATAGACAGCAGGATAAACAATTTTTCTGAGTAAACTTTCTCATACTGAATGCTTTTTTTTTTTTTTAACATCTTAGTAGCATGGATACGTGACATCTGCCATCTGGAGTCAACTCATGTTGAACATTTGCAAACCAAAGTTACCTAATGTTACTTGCTTGTAATTATTCCCATTCTGTTCAGCTCTGTGTAAATACTTGCTTAGCTGGTGCACGTAAATAACTTACTAGGAGAGAGACTCCTTTCTTGGGATTTAGCTTCTGGAGAGCTGCCCTAAATAGTAAGAGTTCCTGAGGCATGTTACTTAATTTTTTATTCAGTGTTTTGAGAGAAACTAGAAAAAAAATCTAAAATAAATTATGATGCTTTAAAGTGTTAACCATCATATTTTTAAAGGGAGACATGTATAGATACTAACATGAAGAAAGAATGCAAATCAAAGAACCTTTTGGAGTTACTAGTGTTTTTTTATTCATTTTTAAAAGTCTGCTTCTATCTTGATGAATAGCCCTGTTAAATTCCAAGTTGCAAAATTTAAATCCTTCTAGAAGACCCATTTATAAGTTGTGAATTCACTCAGTTTTGTGTAATCTACCAAAGTTGCGTGTAGTACAATAATAGAGGTCTCTGTTCTCTAAATGTCACTGTGGTTCTGTTCTGAAAACTAACTTTACAAAAATTGTATCATAGGGTTCCCTGTTTATCATCTCACAGTGACTCAGCATCAAATCTACTCATTTTAAAAGTGAAAAGCTGTTTTTGACATCTATTTCTGCAAAGTCTAAATGGGATAGGAAATCAAATTATTACTGATTTAGGCATAAACAGCAGCAGAGCTTCTACAGTAGGGAGCAATATTAACAGTTATAACGGTGTATGAGCCCACCCCGCTAATATTAAATCATTTGTAAATCTGGAGACATGATGAAGTGGATTGAAGAAAGAATTGGGGTAATAATCCTTGAATTCCAATCTCTTGTCTAGCATAGATCTATCAAATGTTCTTCTACAGTGAATTGCACCTATTTAACTAAATGTCCTTTTAAAGAAAAATAAGGGGGATTTTTTGTTGGGGGGGTGGGGCGGGGAGGTCAGGGGTCTGATGTCTTTCCTTGGACTAACTGTATGGTTAGAAGAAAGGGTGGGCAGGCTTTTTGGTACAGACTGCCCTTCAGATCTGCATAAATGTCCATATCTTCCATCTTTATAGTAAGATTGTTGTAGCTGTAATAGTCTGGGAAATGTACAAAAGGAAATATTTTGAAGTTTCCATCTTAAAGTAATACAGAAAGTTCTGAGTCTGCACAACTTTTAAAGCTAATTTCTACTTCCAGATGCATCTGCTTTACCATTGCAAAACATTCCATTTTATTTGACTTGTCCTGTTAAGAGGTTTGTGTCTGAATGTATTGTTACAATGCTTCTTCACACTGATGATTAAGATAATTTGAATAATTACAGGGCTGTCCTCAACCAACAGGAACACTAGTGACTGCATGAGCAGACCTAACCCCAAGCTCAATACCTCTTCAATCTGTAGTAAGGACCAAGAGAAATGTGCTCTTTGCCTTAGGAACAGTTGAACAGAAGGCAAGTCTCTGCCTGATGTCTCTGTTTAGCAGTACAACCCACAGAGAGCCAATTAAGGTTTCATTTCCCTTCTCTCATTGTTAGTGTAACAGTTTAAGACTCAGCCGAGATTTGGGACATTGCCCAGGGTAAGGCTGACCTTACTGTAAGTGGTTACAAAATGTCATCGCCTTTCACGTTAGGCTTCCAAAAAGAGACCTGGAATTCCTCCTAATCTGATTAATCCCTGAAATAACTTCTTGCTGCAGCTTCACTTTCATAAAGTGTTTGGTAATTCAGGGAGAGAGAGGATTTGTTAAAGTGCCAAATGGGACTGAATGTACCCGATCCCTTCTGATCTCAGAAGCTTAAGTCCTGGGCCTGGCTAGGTCTTGAACAGGAGACCACCTGGGAATTGCGGGTTCCAGGGGAAGGCCTCAACCTTTTTTTTTTTTTTTGGTTTTCATAGGGGTAATTTGACCTCAGGCAAGGGGGGATGTCTTTTAGAGGTCCCTTCCAGCCCTACTTCTCTCTGATTTCTATGATTTCCACTCCTGCCAAAAGTCACGTTCTATTTAGTCTTCATGTCAAAGGCTGATACACCATGGGTATTTGAGTACCATGTTTACTTAGCTGTCATATGCACCCTTTCTTTCCCCAAAATTAGTCCTCCAAATGTGAGATGTGTCTCATGTGGAGAAGCTGATTCCTGCACCACAGTGGAAGCATAGGGACACAGTAATGGCTGCCAGGGGCTGTACTTCTCTCCAGCCAGCAAGAAGCAGAGCTAGGGGCCAGTTAAGTGACAGAGCTAGTCTTTCCCAGCCACTGCTGAATTGACAGCTTTGACTTAAAATGTTCATGAACCAACTAAAAAAAAATTCAATTTGGGTCAATACAAAGTTCATTTTTACAATTTTGAAATGCTTCCATTTTTTACCATTTTTAATGTTGGGCGCTGCTTAATCTTCTAAATGAAAAGCTGTTTTAATCAGGACAAAAATGCTTTCCTATTATAAAAGTCATTAGGAGATATTTTGACAACTTCAAAACTTAAGAAAAATTGAGTAAAAAGAATTATTTCAATTAGACTCAATCTCTTGAACAGAAATCAGCAATTTCTGGCAAAACATGTTTCACGTAAAAATTCTAACCTAGCTCTAATGAGCTTTATAGCAAATGGTGCAGGCCCACGAATCTAAAGGTGGATGCAGAGGCTAGGGAATTTAAGTCTTTCAGGGTATCCGGGGGGTGGGTAATAGGTAAGGAGTTGACAACAGGTAGATACAGGGTTTTTTTTCCTACTAACCTACTTCTCCTGGCTGGGTCCCAGAATGAGATGGAGAGTGGGAAGCAGATCAGTGGCACAGTGACTGATCCATTAATGTTAGTAACAGTTAACACTTTTTAATCCTAGATATTTTTAAAGGTTTCACAAAAAATGATTTAACATTATCCTCCTTTAATAGGTAGGGTAACAGACACAGAGAAGGTGAGGTCACGCATCTGCCCAAAAGCAAACCTGGAAAGTGAATCCAAAGTCTCCTCTTTGTCTCCTGGGTCCACAATGACTCCCTTGGAGAAAGAGAGAGATTGATGAGAGAGTGAGACTTCTTTCTCCCCCTGTATACACTGTAAATGGGACAAGTGGAGAATATTTTCTTACAGGACAGATTCAGTAGTTTTATTCGCAGGGGTCAGCCCTAGTGAGGTGGAGATGAAGGGCAGGGTTGTGATGCCAAGCTGCAGGCACGTTACAGAGTGTGTGACTTGATTGCATTCTCTTTCCTTCTTTCTTTGTAATCCAGTCCTGTTTGGGAAGGATTTAAGTCCCCTGGAAAACATTCAAAGAGCCTTGTTATGTGAACAGCAAGGCAAAACCTAATAAAGTACCAGGGGGATTTCAGTGGTGAAAGCAACTTCTGTTTTTCATACCAAGCTGATTGGTTGGTATGTTTGCCTGAAGCTTCAATAGGACTTAACATTCATATAAATAGCCAGTTCATAGCTCTGACTTCTACACTCTGCAGTTGTTTCTGGAAAGCTCAAATCCTTGATCAGGAAGAAAATGTACAGCCAGTAAGTATCTCAACAGGCTCTTCTCTGAGCTACAGGCAGATATTTGTTGTTGTTAATGGATTAAATGTATTTCACTAACATGTTGAAGCCCAGGTGAAGACTGGGGCTCGATTGTGTAGCATTGTGTGATTCCTATATGCTGAAACTTCTGCAATGGGTGTCTATTCCTGAGACTATAACAAGTTGCTATGCCCATTAGGGGAGTTGAGAACATAAGAAACGGTCCCTCCTCGGCAAGCTTACACTCTACTCGCTGGACAAGTCAGCTTAGCACGTGGGGAGAGGGAGAGGGGAGCCCTCAAGCAGAGTGAACAACACAGTGGGCTGCAAGCATGGAGTTACTGCCACAACTGGATGCCAGTTACTTTTCAATGTTTGCCATGGAGTTTTGCTGGCAGGGAAGTAAAGCTAAGCAGGCAAAGAAAAGGAGGGGAGGGAGGCGCTACTGGGGATAGAGGAAGGGGAAAGGAGAGCACTGAGGGTAGATTGGGTGAGGCTGACATAAAGAGAGTTTTCAAAATGAAAACTTTTTAATGTGATTGTCACCTGCCTGAGGGTTTTCTGCTCTTGTTGTTCCTCTTTGCTCTTGGCTGGGTCCCTGCACACTCCTCCCAGACATTTCTCTTCCCTGTACTCGCATGGCTGAGAGTTTGGGAGCCTGGGGCTGGGCTGGGATGGGGACTGCTGCCCATCTCTGGTTCTGAGTGCTGGCACAGGGGTGACACTCCCTGGCTGTCAGCCCTTCCCAACAACACAAAGCTGAGGATACTAAGGGGCCTTGATGCAGCAGCTTAATCATCTCAAGAAAAGAAATCTGTTGCAGGAGTTGCAGTGTATGGGACTGGTACAAGAACCTGCTCTCCAAGGCTTAGTGTAGCATCCACTTAGCCAATAGCAGGCACTGAACAATGTGTCTCCAGACCTGAAAGCTCAAGTCCCTGTGGGTGGTGTTAAAGAACCAGGCCCTGTAGCATCCTCCCTGGATCACTACAGAGTAATAGTGTAATGATGGGTGGGTGACCAGGGCACCAGCCTTGGGCACTGTCTTAGGGGGCATATCAGAATGGAGCAAAGGTGGTGCTTCACCCTCCCCTTCCCCATCACCACCACCCTGTACCTCCCCTGCAGTGAGAAGGGCAAAGAAGCAGCAGTGCATGATGCAGGAGCCTCAGTTGATGGTTTGCTGCTGCTAGGAGAGATGTCACCCTTTTTTGCTCTTGGAAACCAGTAGCTTTTTGATCACTTGATATGCAAGTGATTGCATCTAGCCCACAAAGCCAGTATGTCAAATTGGACAGGCAGCCTGCCTTTAGTCCTTGTACTACCCAGATCTTCAGGTTACTTCTCAGCTCCAATTCTTCAACCTACAGTTTTTCTGAAGCCTGTTGCTTCCCTCCAACTAGTTTTGCAGTTTTGTCAAGAGTAGCTTATGAATCACGAACCATCTTATCTAGAAACTATGTCCTATTACTCTTCTGTGTCTCCAGAGCAGTTGGCTGGGCTCACTTTAGCCTCTCAAAATTTTTCTTTTCAGAGTTGAGCACCCAGCTGGTGGATATGAAAAGCTCTTTGAGACTGTGGAGGAATTATCTTCACCTGTCGCATGTCATGTCACAGGTTTGAGCGGTTCCACTGTTTTCCATCCACACTTCCTCTGAACACAGGGACAGTCCAGGCTGGTCACCAGATCAGAGTTGTGCAATGAGATAAATGGGTTAAATGTACCTCTGGGACTGTAAATATTTGTCCAGGCATCTTGGGGTAGCGGATGCTGGTCTACAATTTTAATTGAGGCCCTTTGTGCTACTGGAAAAGCCTCAGATCAGTTTAATACATTATCTTGTGCTGCCATCCTTTCAAATATTTTAATCAGGCTCTCATTGCCAATAAGGACAGCACTATTTTTCAAGAGATGCAATAGTGTTAGTTCAATGGGTGGCTCTTTCGTTTGAGTCAGTGCTGGCCCAGAACGCTGTTAGAGAGGACTCCTGCTGGTGATGCCATCTTTCAGAGACATAAAATCAAAGTCATCACCTCTTGTAGGTCACATATGACCAGTGACATTTTAATAAGAGCAAGGATGTTAATCAGGATGGTAAATGCTTGCTTAAAAAGTAATTTTCTTTCTAAAATTTTGCATTTGGGCTGCAAATTTCTCTGCAACGTTATTTGTTAATTGATATTCTTTACCTCCTGAAGCATAGTGTTGTAGTATAGTAGTCTTAAAAGGTTGTTGTTGTACCAAACCCTGTGCCCCAGAAACTGGCACAAGGAGCTGGTCAGGGAAGTTCCCATTTATATATAGGGGATGCTGGGGATTAGGGTCACAAGCCAATAGGCTAAGGAAAGGGTGACAGACGCAACTAAATATGCATTAACATACACTTAGGATCTGGGTAACAGGAAGTAAATAGTGACACCATGGTGAAATCGCCCAAGAGCAGGTAACTGGTAGAAAACACTAAAACTTGAGAACTTTAAGCCCTCCCACAACTCCGGAGGGCTCCAGACCAGTCTCTGGTGCCATAAAATGCTTAATTGACATCTGCCTGTGCTCCACGCCTGAGCCCTGCTGCTGCAGCTTGCAGTCCTAGCTCCCCTACTTCTTCCTACTCTCTGGCCATATGCCTCCCTCTCTCAGCTGTGGTGACCCACACTCCAACACTGTTCCTCCCACTTCATCTGTCTCCTGCCACCTTCTGGGAGTTGTAGTGCACGTTGCAGTTCCTTCCTCCAGTCCCCTGGAGATTTCTGGGATTTCCCGTTCAACCTACAGTGCCTTCTTCTAGTCCTCTGGAGGCATCTGGGCATTGTAGTTCATGTTACAACATTACAGTATATAATATTGTTTTATACTACAAAGATGTCTGTTTAAGTGGTGGATTAAGTAATCTCTTGGTTGAGTTTGTTCATCAGACTGGATACATTTATAAGGTGATTTGGGATAACATATAGATCATCTTGTTAAGAATTCAAAAGCATAGCCTATTCTTCTCCTACTTACTAAGATCATTTTGTCTTTATAGATAGAAGAGGTAGAGAGAGACTAGAGTTTAGTGGACAAAATAACATTTTCAGGATTAAAAACAAAATCTGCCCCTTGGCATGGAAACAGTCTGCTGATTTCATAATTCTGTTTTGGATCTAGTCTGGATATTATGTCTATAGATTAAGGAAAAACCCCAGCTTCAATCTGGATGATTAGCTTTTCCTAAGCATCAAACAAGAAAAACAATGAATCCTGTTTTCCCTCGAAATTATCACTGAAACACTACCTCCTTGATTGCCTTTCCCACAGGTAGGGTTCCCACCTGGCTCAAAGGAAGCCTACTGAGATGTGGACCTGGTTTATTTGAAGTTGGTTCGGAACCATTTTATCATTTGTTTGATGGCCAAGCACTACTTCATAAGTTTGACTTTACAGAGGGGGATGTCACATACTATCGGAGGTGAGTGCAACATATTTCAAAGCAAATGTAATGAATTAAAATACAAAACGTAGAAGCCAGATTCTGCTTTCTGATAGTGACAGGGCTTGTGTTCACTTCCAGCCGATTACCTGATGGAAAGATCTCTGTGCTGGGTTATAGTGCATCTTATGGCAACAGTGATAACATATTCATAGTTAGCATTAACCTAACACTTTCCCTGTGAAAACTACAAAACTCCTTGCATGTTGCAAATGGGTAGGTTTAGAGATGAGAGAATGGAGGCAGAAAGAGGTTAGGGGATTAACTCAAAGCTGGATAGTGAGACAGTGCTCATTAGGACTACAGCCCAGAACTCCTGATTCTCTCAGCCCCATCTTTTAATGGCAAGAAAAGGCTGCCTTCCTTAATTTAATTAAAATACCTCATGGAAATGTTGCAGCATTCTATAGCAACCATCAAAAGACTACAGCTTTATCACACTGCTAACTGTGTTTTAACTCTTTACTCCCCAGTACCTCAAAACTTGCTTCCTCTCTCTGCCATTGGCATTCCCTAGTGACTGCTTCAACTTGGTGTAGAGCCAGCTCATGCTTGATATCAAAGGGATAAATATTTTATTAGAGTCAAAACTGATCAGTCTCTGTTATTTCACCTGTGGCATCCCACTGAAACCTTTTTTAACTCACTGACTAAATTTTCCGTGGAAAGTGTTTCTTGGTCAGAAAACTAAAAAAATGTGTGGTGGGGGGGGTGGGGGGTTGGTTTTGATCATGCACAAAAACTCAGCTGAAAATCAAAACCTACTTCATAAAGAATTTTTTGATGTTGGGATTTAAAGGTGGTTGTTTTTTCTTTTTATTAAAAGATTTTTGCATGACAGGAGCAAGGGCAGCAGAATATTTTCTGACTACCTCCAAATAAAGACAGCAAGAAGGTACTAGCTAGTGCCATTCCCTACTGTGCAAAATACCACAGGGTGGTGAAGAGAATTAAGTCCTTATTCAGCTATAAGTATAACTGAAGTGAAGCTGTAAGCCTGGCTCAGATTTTCCTGGACATCACCTTCCCAGATGTTTCCAACATCTCAGCATATGAAGAAACACAGTTTTGAGAGCTGTTGTAGGCAGTCCAGATGCAACATTACCCTCTTGTTAGCAGACACAGATCTTTATAGAACTCAGCTTTTTTAAATTCATGTTGTGTTTTACTGTAAGAGTTGTAATGACCAGATATAATGTATAATGTATGTAATTTATATCAACTTTATTTGGCCACTTTTGTGATTGTATTGATTGAATCCCTTCTCTTTCTTGCCTTTCTCTAGGTTTGTTCGGAGCGATTCTTATGTAAGAGCAATGACTGAGAAAAGAATTGTGATAACAGAGTTTGGCACCTGTGCTTACCCTGATCCATGCAAGAATATATTTTCCAGGTGACTGAAAGTGAGAGTGTGACATGTTTTTGGTTATACATGTTTAAAGTACTACCAAAAGAAAATTACTGACTTGTTGTTGCCTTGATTTGTTTAGGTTTTTTTCATACTTTAGAGGTGTGGAGGTCACTGATAATGCTTTAGTTAACATTTACCCTGTGGGAGAAGATTACTATGCCTGCACAGAAACCAACTTCATAACCAAGATTAACCCCAAGACTTTGGAGACCATGAAGAAGGTAGGTGCTTTAATCTCAGGATCATAGGAAAGTAGGGTTGGAAAGGACCTCACAAGGTCACCTTTTGGGGGAATGTGGAGAAATTAAATATCAAATGAAGATTCGTGTTACACAGGGGCGGGCAATTATTTTGGGCGGAGGGCCGCTTATTGAGTTTTGGCAAGTCATCGAGGGCCGCATGATAGGCAGCCCAGGGCAGATAAATATTAATTTTCTAAGTTTTTTAGGGGCCCTACGGGCCGGATAGAATGGTCTGGTGGGTCGCATCTGGCCCCTGGGCTGCATTTTGCCCACCCCTGACGTTACAGCATGTACAGATAGGCAAGATATGTTACCTGGCACAGACCATTTTAGTAGAAATATCAACATGTTTGATTATCTGTTAATGCTTCTGAGATGTCATTGAAAAAAATGAAAAAAGCCCCTATGAAGTATGCTGCTTATATCAATCACAAGAGCTTTGTTTTAAACAGGACTTTTTTCCCATGTAAAAGAGTTCTGTGCCTCACTTGAAATCAAAAGATGTGATTAAAATCACAGAAAACTCAAAATCTTCCAGGAAAAAAATATTATAAAAAGAATTTTTTCCCCCACTTGTTTCAAAATTTTTCCAAAAAAATTTTCAGACCTGCTTTTATCATCATCATCCTTTTGGAGACAGGGACCTGAGGCACACAATGATTAAGGCTGGGGACTTGAAAAGAGCATCAGGGAGTAAGATGCCCCAAACCTAATGGAAGTTGATGGGAGTTGGGTGCCCAGCTTCCTTAGGCTTGTTTAAAAACCCCACCTTAAGTAGTTTCTCCGCACAGGAAATAAGGTGTGGATCTCCCAGTTCAGTGCCCTATTGTCCTGTGCTACTATTTAGATGCTTATTCTAACTTGTAGATATATTAACATAAGCCTTTTTATCAGTAGTGTCTGAATGCGGCCAGGCACTTGGAGCAAAGCAGAAGTGGTTGCTACCACGATAGCTAACATGCAGCTGCTGGCACCAGTCGCTTTTTTTCAAACCCCTCCAAGTCAGCACCCAGGGCAGTTGCCTCATTGCCTCCACCCCTAGTTACACCATTTCCTTTTACAGTGTCATGTTAAAGCCGTTCACTAAGCTTCCATATTGCTTTGTTGGTTACATAAGGCTCTCGTGATCTAGCAAAACATTGTATGGCTTTTAGCTTCACTGGTCATTTAAAAAATTATTTAGTAAGGGTTTTTTTCCATTCAGATCGGATCATGTCTGTTGTATACATCTTGTATTTTTTTTGTTTCCAAGAATGCTCCAGGAAGCTTTTGACACTTCTACTTTCCTACTTTTTTAAAGAAAAGCTAATACTGTGGAATCGTGTGTTGTACAAATGATGTTGTGAAGTTACATGCTAAGCCTGCACCAGTTTGAATAACTGCCCCAACACAATGTATATATCGTGGCAGGGATGCTCAACCTGTGGCCCATGGAGCCATGGCATCTGGCCTGTGGGGCTCCCCACGGGTTGGGAAATTTGGTGGCAGCGGAGCAGTGGCAATTTTATAACACCACTGTCCTCTACTTTCAAATTCCCAAGACCCGTGTGGTGGGTCAGGCCACATCATTTCCCTTTGCACAGCCAGATCAAGGCCAGGCCACGCTCCCTTCCCTCGCGTGGCTGGGTTGGGGCCTGGCCACAGGGACTTCTCCCCTGGGCCACACTGCCTTCCCCTGCATGGCCAGATGGGGACTGAGCCACATCCCCTTCCCCTGCACAGCTGGTTCAGAGTTGGTCCGTGCTCCCTCCCCTCGCATGGCTGGATTGGGGCTGGCCTTTGCCTCCTATTCGGGGCTGGGCCAAGCTCCCTTCCCCTGCATGGCTGGATTGGAGTTGGACTGCCTCCTGATCCCTTCTGCATGGCTGGATGGGACCGCACCTGCCCTGGGTGCTGAATTGGGACCAGATACTGGATCTGGCCTGCGGATGGACTGGGCACTACCCATCCTTGCCCATTGGTCAAAAAGTTCAAGCAGCACTGAATAAAACTAATCAAGCTTTTCTGGATTGTTTTCCCAGGCTTTTATTCCGATACAATTAATAGTAACCAGCCCTTACCCCAAAGTCATGCTGTAGGACCTGGTTTGACTAGCATGGCAATGCTATGGGATTACCTCCTAGCTTTGGCTTTCAGTGCGAGCCAGCAATCGCTATGCAGCTGTGGGCTAACAGGGCAGACTGCTGTCATCGGACGTCCACCTGTGCTGCTGCTTTCTGGTCCCCTGACAGCTGTACTAATCGAGTGTGCTGTCAGTTTTCACTCAACCGGGCTCCTGTAATGGCTCTCAAGAGGACAGTACTCTTGTGCAACTTCCAGCAGATCTGAGCATCTGAGTTGATGTAGACTTAGCCGCCTTCCTAGAAGAAAGCACCAGAGTTGAAGCAGAGGAGCTGCTTTAACCTGAATGTTACGGTTAATGCCCTGACGCCCTACACCTGTGTGGAAGCCTCATCCCTCCCTATTTTCACTCGGGGCAGTCCCCGCTCCATCACAACTCCCACTAAAACACCTTGTAGCAGCCCACGAGCACATTTCAGCAAGGTGCTAATCATACTGCTGTGTCAGGGCTGAAGAACTGAATCCAGCCTGGGGCTTACTCGGAGTTGGAGGCCTCAGGAAAGATGCTGACACCAGGCAGACAGCTGCAGAAACACAGAACTGCCTTGGACATGGCAGCGGTTTCAAAGGTTTGCCATAAGACATGCTCACTTTTTTTTCAAGTGCTTCCCCTGGACCCTGTAGTCTCGAACATAAACAGATGAAAAATTCAGGCAAATCCTGCAGGATCAAGTCACTGCTGTTGTTTCTCAATTCAAATATTTGCAGGTGATGTACTGATGAGCAAGGGATAAAACTATTCTTTACATTATTCTTTGCATAAAACAAGATAATGTTTACAAGCCAAATATTTCAACAAGTTTACTGTGGTAAATTACTACCTCCTGCAAACAAACCTCATGATGCTCCAAGTTTCATCTCTCTCTCTCTTTCTTCAGGTGGATCTCTGTAAATATGTTTCAATCAACGGATTAACTGCTCATCCCCATATTGAAAAGGATGGCACAGTTTACAACATTGGAAATTGCTTTGGAAAAAATTTTTCAATTGCCTATAATATTGTACGGATGCCTCCACTGCAAGCAGGTTAGTTTATGTAGTATTTAAAAGCAATATGTAAGCACTTCAGAATATCATGCGAAGAAATCTAGTTAGCTGCT